GCAAGCAATGTCCCCAGAGGACAAGCTGAGGCCAGGCAGGGCAGGGATATCCCAGCCAGATCGCTCCAAGTCAGCATAGTCCAGTCCCTCCCCCCTTCCCCCCTCTACCCACCCACACACACACACGGCACCCCGTGTTCCCCAGGGCTGTGATAGCCTAGGTCTCTGTCAGTAAAGGTTTCTTTCTGAAGGCCCAGTCTCCCGCTTACCTGCCACTCCAGGAGGTGGCCCCAGAGCCGATGGAAGTGGTGCAAGGTCAGACTTCGCCCGTGCTGTGTTGCAGGGTTGGGTGGGGGGACATCTGGTTAAGGTCAATGTCTCCAGAAGAGGAAGAGAGCCCAACGTCCCCTTCCCCGCTCCCTCACCTAGGCAATGCCCCCCATGTACCCCAAAACACTGCAACAGCTGCTCACAGGTCCTGAGCCCGATCTCTCCAGGGGTTCGGGTGTGAGCCCTGGCTATAGGAACAACAAAAACCACAGCACTTCCTGCATGCTGCCCACCACTCTAAGGGCCCCTCAGACATGACTCCCTCAAGCAGGCACTGTTGTCAGCCCCAGGTTACAGATGCCAAGGTACAGGGAGCCAGTGACTGCTGTGATGAGCACAACTGGGATTCAGATCCAGGCAGGGATTTCCCAGGCTGTGCTCAAGGCAGCATTGCCTCTCAGCAGAAGGGGACCTTGTGAGTAGGCGTGGCCCACATTCAGGGGCCCACACAAGGTCCAGTGCAGGGAGATGCTACCAGGCTGAGCCCTGGCTTCCTGGGCCCAACTCCCAGCAGCACGGTGGGTTAACAGACAGGGGGTGGCTCTGGTTACAGGACCCCTGGCTAAGACCCCTCCTCCCACCCCATCCCAGCCAACTCACCAGGCTCCAGGGCAATGCTTAGTAAGGCCTGGAGCTGAGGGGCACCGAGTTCTTCCTCCTAGTCCAGGAAAGAGCTTGTGAGGCCATTTACTCATGGCCTCACAGCAGTGCTGGGCCTAGCTAGAGACACAGCAGGGGCTGACAGCCTCAGAGCTGTAGCTCCAGGAGTCGGGTAGACAGACCTGTTCCCACAGGGCCAGGGCTGTGATTGGGGAAGCGAGGGGCTGTGGGAGCCCGTGGCGGGCAGCACACCAGCCTGGGGGAGGGTCAGGGAGAGCTTTCAGGCTGGGCACCTTCTATGAGGCCTGAGCCAGGCCGAGGTGTCTGGAGATAGTCATACCCTCTCTCAGGACCACCGTCTGAGCCCAAGGCCCTGAGGCAGGGAGGAGCTGTTAGCATTTCAAGAAAAGGAGGCCAGGAGATTTCAGCTCAAGGGAAGAAAAAGTAAAGTAAAATGAGACACCTGTGATGTGGGGGTGGGGTTTCCTAAGGGGAGGCAGCAGGGGGAGGCCCTCACCCACTCCCCCTCCTCACCTCTCCAGCCAGCTCCTGAAACAGCTGCTCCAGCCCCAGCTCCAGAGGCAGGTAGGGGCCCTGTGGCATGGGGGAAGTTTAGTTCTGGCCAAAACCCCCGCCCCAACGTGGCCCTCCCCTCCCCGAACAGCCCACACCTGGAGAGCCTGCAGGTCTGCGCTGATCACGTCGTCAATCTCCCTGCAAATTACAAACAGGAGGTGGGGAGGGGGCTGTTGGTTCCAGCTGGGGCTGTGGCGGGCGGGATCTCAGCTGGACTCGCGTGGGGTCTAGGTGGGGTCTAGGTGGGGATGGTGGGGATGGTGGGGCTCTGGACTCATCCTCGTGGGTCAGGTCTCAGGGGTCTCGAGGCCTGTCTAGGCGCGGGTGGGGTCGGATCTGGGTCCCTGGGGCTCACACTGCCGTATGGCGGCGCTCAGAAAACACACGCAGAGTGAAGTCGGCCTCGTCGCCGGGGTGGGCGGCACTTGGCACCACCAGGTAGTGTCCGGGGCGCAGGCGGCAGCGGCGGCTCACGTCGCGGCGGGCGCAGAGGGGCGAGCGGTCGGCGCGCAACAGCCGGGGCAGGAGCGCGCGGCTGCGCGGGGAGTCCCAGAGGCCCAGCAGCTGGGGACAGGGCGGCGTGACCACGGACCAGGCTCACCCCCCCGCCCTCCAGCCCGCCCCGTCCACTCTGCCCACCCCCCTCCGTCCATGCCTCCCCTTGCCTTTGGACCCCGGCTCTGCCCGCCATCCCCAGCGCAGGTGGACCAAGCCCCGGGTCCGGTTGACCCCATCCCAGACTTACCTCCTCTGTAATCTGAAAGAAGCAGAAGCAAGGGGAATCGAAGCAAGGGGAATCGAAGCAAGGGGAATCGAAGCAAGGGGAATCGAAGCAAGGGGAATCGAAGCAAGGGGAATCGAAGCAAGGGGAATCGAAGCAAGGGGAATCGGAGCAGGGGAGAGGTGGCAGCCACTCAGGCTCCCCTCCCTGCCCCGCCTCGCCCCTCCTCACCCCTCTGCCCTCTCCCTCCTCCTTCGTCCTATTAGACCCTTATTGAACCTCTGCCCCCGCAGTCCCCGACCCACCCCTCCCCTTCCCTTCCCCAACCTTTCCTCCGCTATCTGCGCTCTCAGCGCCTTCTCTGTCTCCTTGGATCCCTGTGGCCCTTCGGACCCCCTCCCTCTCATTTCCTTACCTCCCTATCCCGTCTGAGCCCTACCCGACCCCCACTCCCTTCCCGCCCCGCCCCTCCACAGCTCCCCTCTTCCCTTTGGCCTCGCCCCTCCATTCCTCTCTTGCTCCTAGGCCCCGCCCCTCCACGCTTCCTTTCCCTCGGCCCCGCCCCCCACGCCTCCTCTGCTTCCCTCGGCTCCGCCCCTCACCTCTCCTCCTCCCACTGGCCCCGCCCCTCACTCCTCCCCTGATCCCCTTGCCCCCGCCCCTTCACCCTCGGGGTTCCCTCCAGCCTTAGCTCTAACCAGGACCTCACCTGGAACACGTGGAAGCCCACGGTGAGGTAAGTGAGGCCCTTGGCTCTCAGGCGCCGCCGGTTGCGCTGGATGAGCGATAGGAGGACTGTGCACTTGGGCGTGCGGCACCCCCGCGCTGGGCCCCGCGCCCCTGCAGCCCCCCAGCCCCCCCAGGGCCCTTCCTCATCCTCGTCCTCCTCCTCGTCGGGTTCCAGCAGCGTTAAACGGAACTGAGGATTGGTCCAGAAGGTTTCTAAGGGAGGAGGAAGAAAGGGGGGGTTCCCAGCTGGCCACAGCAACCCCCCACCCCTTCGAGCCTCACCAGGGCCCCTCAGGCCTCACCAGAATTAGGCTGGCTCCCTCCGGAGTTGAAGCCGCGCACCCAGCGACCTTGGAAGGTGTGGACGTGCCAGCCGCCCCCCGCCGGGCTAGGGCCCAGCACCTCCGGGCTCAGCGAGCAGATCTGCACGGTGTCGAAGTGGAGGAGGAAGTCCCGCAGCTCCATCCTGTATAGTGGCGCGGTCAGACTGTGCCTGGCCCCACACCTCGAGGGTTGTCCCCAGACCCCCAGATCCCAAAGCCCCCCACATTTCTTAAATATTGCCAAGTACCCTTCAGGCTCCAGAAATGGCCCCCAGATGGCCGGGCCTCTAGCTCCCCCAAATTCCTCTAAGTCCTCAGGCATAACCCACAAATCGCCAAGATTAACAAACTGCCCCCAAATACCTTTAAATTGCCACCAACCCCCAAATTGCAAGACCCTCAGACTCTGAATTACCAACAGGTATCCATCAGCCCCTCAACATTGCCAAGTCTCAAGAAATGCCCCAAATGTCACCAAGCTTTCCTCCATTGCCCTAAATACTGCTGCCCATCCATTCCAACCCTCCATAGATAACTATGCCTCCAAATTCCCCTACTTTTTTTTTTTTTTTTTTTTTTGAGACGGAGTCTCGCTGTCACCTAGGATGGAGTGCAATGGCATGATCCCGGCTTACTGCAACCTCCACCTCCCGGGTTCAAGCGATTCTCCTGCCTCAGCCTACTGAGTAGCTGGGATTACAGGCACGTGCCACCACGTCCAGCTAATTTTGTATTTTTAGTAGAGACGGGGTTTCACCATGTTGGTCAGGATGGTCTCTATCTCTTGGCCTGCCCGCCTCGGCCTCCCAGAGTGTTGGGATTACAGGCGTGAGCCACCGTGCCTGGCCTTATATTACTACTTTTTTAAACCCACTCCAATCAGAGGCACTACTAATATTGCTACCAGTTCTCCCTTGACTTCCCCAAATAGAACCTGGTCCAAAAATTACCACCGATGTCCACAGTTTCTCCCTATTAGGACCCACCATTCAACCGCAATGCGCCCCCTAGAGGCAGAGCTGGGACCCTGATGAACTGACCAGAACTCGCCATCCTCCTTTTTCACCAGCAGGGCATCGCGCCACTCGGTGGGGAGTGTGTCCCAGCGTGGGCAGCTGGAGAGAGACAGGTGTGAGGGGCGGGCAGGTGGGGTCCAGCCCCACACCCGCCCCATGCCCATCCCACCTGTCGCTCCATGCCCCAGTCCACTCCACGCGACCCCATGGGTTCCGCAGCCGTAGCAGCCGCACCTTGGTGAAGCCCAGGAACACCTGGGGGCAGCATTGTCAGTGGGCATGATGCCTGGACATGGCCTGTCACCCCACCCACGGGGTACACTCACCTTGTGTGTGCCCGTGACAGAATACGCGTGTCCCTTCACCAGGCCTTCCTCTGTGCGGTACTCACCCCGATCACTCTGGGCAAGGGAAGGGATGGTGAGGCCGAGGCCGGGGACAGGAAAGTAACTGTTCCTCCCTGCCCCTAACCTCCTGCCACCAAGGCAGGAGCCAACCAGAGCACTGAGCTGAATGGCACGCAGCTCAGAGACCGTGTCCGGGTTAGTTACTGAAGCTGAGAGAGAAAAGGAGAGGAAGGAGATAGGAAAGAGACAACAGGATATGGAAGCACAGGCTCACGCCCATCATCCCAGCATTTCGGAAGGTTAAGGTGGAAGGACTGCTTCAGGCCACGAGTCCGAGATCAGCCTGGGCAACATAGCAAGACCCCAACTCTACAAAAAAATTCTAAAATTTGACGGGCATGGTGGTGCACACCAGTGATCCTGGCTACTCAGGAGGCTGAGGCAGGAGGATCCCTTGAGCCCAGAAGGTCAAGGCTATAGTGAGCTGTGACGACACTAATGCACTCCAACCTGGGTGATAGAGTGAGGTGAGACCGTGTCTCCAAAAAAACAAAACAGATGGAAAGAGGGCTGGGCACAGCAGCTCACTCCTGTAATCCCAGCACTTTGGGAGGCTGAGGCAGATGGATCACGAGGTCAGGAGTTTGAGATCAGCCTGGCCAACATGGTGAAACACTGTCTCCACAAAAACTACAAAAATTAGCCAGGCGTGGTGGTGTGCACCTGTAAGCCCGGCTACTTGGGAGGCTGAGGCAGGAGAGTTGCTTGAACTGAGAGGCAGAGGTTGCGGTGAGCCAAGATCATGTCACTGCACTCTGACCTGGGTGACAGAGCAAGATTCCATCTCAAAAAAAAAAACAAAACAAGATAT